TAATAGCTTAGCCTGTCAATCCATCTATCCAACTCTGTATCCATGTTTGCCTTCACTGACAACACAGTACTGTATGTGCAAAAGGGTTCATCTTTGTTGTCTGTACCTTCCATATACCTCTCTCTGTCTTCCTCTTCCTCAATTCCACCATATCAATCACTCACATTTGGTACATGCCCTTTTCTCCACCGAAATCAATGCTTGTCTCTAACTATCTGTGTTCCCTCTCCTCCCCTCTCACCCCTGGTAACCAACAAAGAAAATTTCCTTCCATGTATATATCTTTCCTTGACTTTCTACTGTAATGGACTAATACAATATTTGTTCCTCGGTGATTGACTTTCACTCAGCATAATGTCCTCCAAGCTCATGAACATTATGTGGTGTTTTGCAGATTCTATGTTACTCTTTAGGGTAGCATAGTATTCCGTTGTGTGTATATACCATAGTTTGGTTATCCATTCTTCATTTGATGGACATCTAAATTGTTTCCATCTTTTGGCTATTGTAAATAGTGCTGTGATGAATATGGGTGAGCACATTTTCTGTGCTGAGCTCATTATGTTTATGAATCGTGTTACCATTTCCTTTGTTACTGTTGTTTAAGTATTTGCTTAATATCTGTGCTTGTTCTCCTTTTTATTGTGATGTGAAGGTTTATCATTTTTCTTTGATCTTACCCTGTGATTTATAATTTTCTCCCTGAGTTTAGAATAGTTCTTCTATGATTGACTTATTTCACTCAGCATAATTCCTCCAAGTTCAAGAATGTTATACAGTGTTTTCCAGATTCTTTTGACTTCTGTCTTGAAACTCTCGACTTCCTCACTTTTAGAAGTTCTGTAACTATACTATTTTTCCCCTCTTTTTGGTTTGTAGTTGTTCTCATTTGCCAATTGATGTTTCTGGTTCCCTGTTTACAATCTTGTAAGCTTATTTTACTTTGGTTATGTCCTTAGTTGTGTTGGTTTCTGGGTATGTCATCTTGTGTATTAATGGTTGGTTTTTGTTTGCTATTATTGGTTCTCTGTTCAAAGGACTCCCTTTAGCATCTCTTGTAAGGTTGGTCTGGTTTTAACAAATTCCCTTGATTTCTGCTTTTCTGGAAATCTCCTAATGTCACCATCATATTTGAGGGACAGTTTGCCAGGTTTATAATTCTTGGTTAGAAATTTTTCTCTTCCAGAGTTTTATATATATCATCCCATTACCTTCTCGCTTGCATGGTTTCTGCTGATGAATCAGAACTTATTATTGGTTTTCTTTGTAAGTAACTTTTTGTCTTTCCCTTGTTGCTTTCAGGATTCTTTCTTTGTCTTTGTCTTTGTCTTTGTCTTTGATGAGTTTGATGATCATATGTCTTGGTGATTTTCTTTTGGGGTCTATCCTGTTTGGGGTTCGTTGGACTTCCTGAATGGATATGTTCTTGTCTTTCATCCTGTCAGGGAAGTTCTCGCCCAACAAATCTTGAACAGTTTTCTCAGTGGTTTTATTTGTGTCTTCCTGTTCTAGAATTCTGATTACACGTAGGTTATTCTTTTTGATGGTATCCCGCTTTCTTCATTTTGTTTTGATCTTTTTTCTGATTGATCTCTTTCCAAAGAAGTATTCAGGTATTTGTCTTCAATCTCATTAATTCTGTCTTCCGTTGATTCAGTTCTACTCCTTTGTCCTTCAATGTGTTATTTCTGAAAATATAGTATTAAATCTTCTGGATTTCTATCTGTAGATTTTGTATCATTTCAGTTTTTCATTTACTTTGTCATTTTATTCTTATTATTTTTCTCTGAAATTGTTCTAGTGTTTTGTCTGTGTTTTCCTTAATTTTGTCAGTGTTTTCCTTGATCTTTCTCTCAATACTTTGAAGATACCTAAATAGAATTCTTTTGAATTCCTTATCAGGGAGTTCCAGTGCTGCTTCTTCCTGAGGGATGTGTTTGGGTCTGTATACTGCTCCCTTGTTTCTACCACTTATCTTGCTTCTTTGTGTGGACTGTGATGGTCTGTTGTCGCCAAGACATTGTGGCGTTGTTGCTTTTAGATCTCTGTTAACTTCCCAGTCGTTGGTGTCTGGAATGTCCTTGTGGTTCCCAGCAAGTAGAGTCTATTTTTAAGTCCCTGGAATCTGGGAGAACGCTGTCACTTTAAATATCCAAAATGGTTGAACTGCTTGTAAACATTCAAAATGGCTGCACTCTCTGGACAGGGAAAAGTCCACGGCTCAGACTGGAGTCTCTCTTTTTTTAGGTGGTTATTGGTGGCAGAAATAAATATTTAATCTTTTATTTTTAAATAAATATTATTATTTATTTCCTCTTCACTGCTTCCCCTTTTATTCACCAGCCACCAGTCCAGTCCTCTATGCAGTTCTTGGCTAGCAGGGCTGATTTTTAGGTTAATTTTTTCCTTACACCATTTGGCAATATCCAAGCTGTCTTAGCCGTCAGGATCACTGACAGACTGAAGCTCCCTATGTCTCCTTTTTTGGTGTTTTCATGCAAATTCTACTAGTTGGAGTTTAGTTCACTTCTATATCGTTCCCTTCAAAGCTCAGAGCTCCAGGATTATCTTCTGTATCTGTGTTAACTGGTTCCCATTTCTTTGATAAAGAGGGTGTGAGCAGTCTGTCTGCCTATTCCACCATCTTACTGGAACTCCTCAGGAGTACCTTTCTTATATCAAAATTTTCAACTAAGAGTTGAAAGAGGTCTAAAGTTACCCATTCAGTATAAGCAGTCAACCGTGCTTGAATCTTGAAGCATATTCAAACTTTCTGTGTCTGTGCTAGAACTCCTTCAGTAACTCAAATTTTGCTGTCTTCTGAGGTAACTCATTCCATTTGGACAGGTCTAATTAAAATAAGATTTTTATAAATTGAACCAGACTCTGCTTTCTTATTGTTTTACACATTTAAATTTTTGAAAGTACCAAGAGCAAATTTATTCTGTATTCCAACATTTAATTTTTAATTGTTTTATAAGCTAAATCTCTCTAGCTCTATCAATTGATATTTAATTGTTTTCAGTTCCTTCACCTGCCTTACCACTCTGAGTATGTTCCAAAGTCTCAAAAACTCACTGTCATCGAATTGGGTCCAACTCATAGTGACCCCTCCTTGGGTTTCCAAGGCAGTATCACTACGGAAGTAAATGGTTCAGCCTTCCTTCCGAGATGTGGCTGGTGGGTTTGAACCGCCAGCCTTCTGGTTTGCAGTCACATGTTCCAGTTCTTAACATTTTTTTCTTTTTAATTTTTAATCTTAAATTGATTGTATACTAGCTTTGGTCTTATTAGAACAAGATTAAATTGTCACTTCTTCCATTTTAGGTATTCTACCTCTATTTTTCCCAGTATGTATAATAAGGGTTCATAATACATCACAATTCATATCAAATTTACTAAAAACCACTTTTAATTTTTATTTGCATTATTCACTAAGCTATTTTACTGACATTTTTGTATGTGTGTTTTTTTAAACCAATGTAGAACCATGTATTTGTCTTTTCAGGTTTTTTTATTTTTCTTATAGTCACACCATGTTTTTAGCTTGTTAGTGGTTTTCTTTTTTTAAAAAATTCTGTTAATGCCTATTTATTTTCCATATTAGTGTGTTGTCACTTACAGATATTTTTCCCCTTATTTTAATTAGGCCACTGATACAAAAAAAAAAAAAGAAGAAGAAGTCGACTATATTAGGATAGGACCCTGCTGTTATTAGACATCTATTGCCCTATAGGAATTTCCACTATGTCTGCTAATTGTTACTGTTCTCATTCAGTACATTTCTCAGCCTGTATCTTGTCTTAAACTAGATAATGAAAACCTTGTCAAATTACATATGAGTATACTAGGTCTTTTGTTCTAATAAGTTAATACATGAACTAATAGCTTAATATTAATCTGGTCAGAAAAGGAAATGAAACTTTCCTTTCAATATTTATTAAATGCTTGCTTTGTGTTGAGGATTCTTGAGTGTACTGGGATATATAGTTAAAAAGAAGGATGAGGAACAGAGTTTGCCTTTAAGGACCTCACAGTGTGGTAGGTAAGATAATTGTACCCAATAAATGACACTCTAAGTGTTACACTCATCTCTGGCATGACTTGTTCTTAATGAATCCATGTTGACGTTTGATGACAGCAACTCTTTTGCCCAAGTAGTCAAGCCATGTCTTTATTAATTTCTTTTAGAATCTTAACCCAGGGTCACTCTCAAGCTGTTTGTCTTTAGTTTATATTATTTGACTTCTTTTACTTTTAAAAATTGAAAAGTAGGGAAATAGAAATGAGCTCCAAGTATGCACAAAATGCAGAAAGCTTATTATCAGGGATAGAAATTAAGTTTCACTCATACTTTGAAGCATAAAGCCATAAGTGACCTTAGAGACCTAGTTCAGTACAGAGACAGTTGGGGGCTTGTGCGTGATTATATATTTATTTAGCAAAAATCCCTGCCTTGGAAGCCATTTGTCTATATCATTATTCTTTTTGACCATGCCACACTTCTACTACTTACTTAGTATTGGTTCTGTTTACCATAAAAAATTGGACACATCAGTTAAATGAAAGGTAATATACTTAGGAGTTTATCACTTTGGCACAAGACATGTGTATGCATTTGTATCTCTTTAAATGTCTCTCTTTTTTTAGGTGGTTATTGGTGGCAGAAATAAATATTTAATCAACGGAGTAAACGCAAACAACACTAGAGTACAAGACCTCTTCTGTTCTGTTGGCCTTAATGTTAACAACCCTCACTTTCTCATTATGCAGGTATTTTGTTTGTGATCTTTACATCTGTTTGATAATTGTTTTGAATCTGTTATTTTTAAGTCATTACAGTTGAATAGTTTCTTTCTTTATGGAATTGTCTACTTTTTTTTTTTTT